TTAAAACTATCAAATTAGTTTGCAGCTTTTGCCACTCAATTAGCTGTTGCGGATTTTCCGGGCTGTGTGGCCGTGGTCTTGGCACTGTAGGACCTGACGTTTCGCCAGTAGCTGTGAATGGCATCCTCAGAGGTATAACACAGAAAGATAGAGTACTCTCTGTGTCTCTGTGTACTCCATCTTTCTGTGTTATACCTCTGAGGATGCCAGTCACAGCTACTGGCGAAACGTCAGGTCCTACAGTGCCAAGACCACGGCTACACAGCCCGGAAAATCCGCAACAGCTAATTGAGTGGCAAAAGCTGCAAGCTAATTTGAACAGTTTAATATTTTATCACCAGAACTGTACCCCGAAATCCTTCTTTAAGGGCTCCTTGAATCAGATTTGAAAGATAAGGTTTGAAATAATGCGCAATATACAATTCTTTTGCTTCAAAATGCCACCAGGTTCTTAATTTTATGCCTGGTTTTGTGCAGGACTGTAGTCAGGATGCAAAGGTGTCTGTTCAGATATTGGGGGGTGGGATGTCATACCTTTCTGGAGGATTAAGCCTGCCTTACCCCAGAAACTGAAATTTCTGGGCTCCGTCCTGCCGCTCTTAAGAGGTGCCGGGCTTTTCCCCACCTCCGTCTTGGATATTTCTGGCTTTAGGGGTGATGACATTTTATTCATCGCCTTCTCCAATAGCTTTCCATTAACACCTTCCCTTCTTCTCTTCACAGGGGCCGGGCCAGATCGACCTCATGGTATTCCCCTTACTAAAAACAAAAAAAAAGTGGTTGTTTTAGGAAGGAGGAAAAAAAAAAGAAAAAAAAATGAAGATTGTTACCATGATGGAAAAAAAAATACTGTGGGGGGAGGAGAATGTGTAAAGCTGTGCAGCAAAAGGGGTCTCCTTTCCGGGGGGGGGAGATAAGGGGGGAGGCGTGCTGTAAACCGGCTTTCACTTACTAGTGGTCCGCGCGGCCACGCCCTGCCGTCTCCCTGCCCTCTGTTTTCCTCCTTTTCTGCCTGCAGCAATTGTCAAGCGTCAACGGAACCACTTTTCCTTTCTGTTGTTGCGGCCTGGCATTTTTGGGGTTGGGGGGGCAGTTAGGAGGGCTGCCCGTTCCACCCCCCACCCCAAACAACACACAACACTCTTGTTCTTTTTTTTGTTGCAGCTGTTGTGGTTCCTTTTAACTCTCTGTAATTTACTTTTGCCCCCGTCTTCCCCCCCCCCACCAGTCCCCCCATACTGGGTTCTTGTGTGTCTGCGTGTGTGGTTGTTTTTGCATGGGTCGTGAAGGGAGGGTGATGCGCAAGAGTCTTGTGTGTCTGCGTGTGTGCTTCAGTGTTCCAACTCCTGGTTGTTTTTGCATGGGTCGTGAAGGGAGGGTGATGCGCAAGAGTTCACCACCGTAATGCTTTAGTTGCCCATTTCGACGTGGCAAACTCAGCCTCCTGCCATTCTCGGGTGTGTGTGTGTGAGAGAGAGAAACATGGAGTTCCCACGTTACCTCTTTCCCCGTGTAGCCTGTTGTCTGTACCGATGAATTTGGGTTTTGCACCCTAACCCTTTATTCTAAAAACACAAGGTAGGGTGTTTTCCTGCAAAAAAGTTTTTCTGCTGAACTGCGGGATATGCGCCTTCCTTTCACTTCTTTCCTCTACTCCCCCCTCCCCCCGGCCCGCTCTCTCCCCCCTTCGCTGCTTCCCTGTCGTATGTCCTTCCACCCTCCCCCTGGGGTATGTTATATTGCCTTGTTTGAGTGTCTTTATCTTTACAGGTTCCTTTATTTTTTTAGCCTGAAGAGATATCACCGAAACCTGAAGTTCTAGAGACCAGGGGCAGGGAGATGACTCCCTTGGGGGCTTGGTGGGTGTGGGGAAGGACCCGAGGCCCATATTTCCTTGTAGGAGAGAGTGACTTTGAAAAATGAGAGAGAGAGAGAGAGAGAGAGAGAGAGAACATTCAGGTTGGGGGGTGGGGGAGTGTAACGAGGAAGAAATAGAGAAACTGTTATGAGGGTGGAAAAAAATAAAGATGTTTTTGGAAGAAAGAAAAGTGCATGTGGTTTTATTGCTAAGATGCTTGGACTCTTTCCAAGGAGCTGTGTGTGCTTTCATTAAAAACACAGTAGCCATAGCGCTGTTCAATAGCTGTGGACTGCAGAGCTATGACGGCTGCTCTGCTGTCGGTTGGGTTACTGGGGTTGTTGGTGTCCAGGGATGGTAAAAGACAAAACACAGAACTGTTCACGCTGGGCTGTCTTGGTGGCCTTCACAGGTCTGCATTGATTTAGGCTCCCCCTCGCCCTCCAAAATCCTGATCACCTTTTGAGTGAACCTTAGGGGCTATGCAAAGTGGGCGCTTCCCCATAAGCACTGTGTACTTTTTCCAGTCTTGGCAGTCTTCCCACAACTACAAAGAAGGTGACATACTGCAAATCTGTTTACCTCTAAGCTGTTAGTGTGAGCTAGCTCAGTTTTTTTAGCCTCGGCTCAAACATTTTGTCTTAGCTCAGGATGGTGTAATGAGTTCATGTTTTGGTGTGTGCGTTTCTTTAAATGTTTAGTTTGACTGCAGAAGGGTGATAGAGGGAGTGTGATTGGCTGATGACTGAGTGTGGGAGGAGGCGGGTGTCTATGCGGTGATTCTGTGTGTGAAATTTGAAGAGAGCAGTCTGTGTGACGGAGTTTTTGAGTCAATTCTGTGTGAATAAGGTCAGCCTGTGTGGCTGTATATATATGAGAGAGATATATTAGTCTGAGTGTCTACACCTGTCAAGAGTAGAATTTTGGGAGTTTGAGAGACTGTTTGTGACACCAAGCTTTGCCAGTTATATTTACAAGTTCCTTTCATCAGCAACAGTTCAAAATAACCAGAAACCTGTTCTTTATTAAATAAATCAATTTTTGTTGAAACGTATCCCAGAAATCAGAATAGTCTTTTATCAGGGCCACATAGTCCTCTGAAGTGCTCAGACCCTGGGTCATTCTACCAAGAGAGAGATTTAGAATTTTTTAATTCCTGGTGGCAGCAGAAATGTACCAAGTTTATGTGCACAGAGGGTGGTTTAAAGGTAAAACCATCTCCCCTATAAGCGGGGACGCCACAGATGGCTCCAAAGCAAACTGATTTTATGTAGTAGCCGAATTATTCACTCACTACTTTAATGCCAGTAGCTGACAAAGTTGAAACTTTGCTTGCAAGACTCCACAGCTTAGAGGAAGCATTGGTTCTAAGTTTTGTTTTGGAAGAGAAAAAAACCATGTGGCTTCTCTTCCTAGGAAGACATGATACGGGTTCATCAGATGGGCGCCTTCCCATTCCATAAAGATATTTTCTGGGCAGCTTCAAAGTCTGCTGTGTTTGAGAAACACAATCCTACAGGACGACTGTTGCTCTTTTTTAGCAAAATGGGAGAGACAGTTACATTTCAAAGGCTAACCTTTTTTCTAGCATAAATAGGATCCTCAAGTTGCATTTATTCCTGGAGCTCAGGGTGGTAGTGTGTTATCTTATCGCCACACTCCTGTTGTGTAGGATTGGTTGAATGTCAACCAGTAAGCTTCATAACAATGAGACTCAATTTTGTATGAGAAGGCTTGGCTGTAAACAAGGGCAGGGAAGGTATCGTCACAGGCCCTGGCCACTACCAGCCCACCTGACCACTTTGGCAGCTTTACAGAATCGAATACCCATTAGCCGACCAGCAGGCTCAGACGTCAAATGTTAAGCCATGCCATCTGTCAACCAGGCCCATCTGTGCTTCAAGTTCTTCAAATTAAGTTAGGCCCCAGGCCAAGGGATAAGAGGCTCATACTGCGCAACTTTCAAAAACATGCCAGTGAGTTTTGGTCTTCGGGGCCCACTCGGTGGCCAACCTGAGAGCTTTCCCCAACCAAGGAACATCTCCGGCAGGAAACTGCTAACTTAAAATGTCTGTGGATACTTTCCGTCTCTGGTGTCAAATTGCTAAATGTGCCTGAATTATCAGCACTGATTACAGCTGTTAAGAACAAAGTCTGCCCTTGGCAGCAAGCCTTCTCCGTTTCCGAGAAAACGACACAGCAGGTTTTGAAATCCAATGTTCACATTTTCCTATGTATTACATATAAGCAAAATCCGGCTGAAAACTTGCCACAGGAACTTGGTCTCGGGTCTGTTGGGGCAGGGTCAGTCTTAGAATTGTGGATAGGGTTGCCAGGTCTGGGTTGGAAAAGACCTGGAGACTTTGGGGGTGGATCTGGGGGAGGGCGGGGTTTGGGGAGGGGCCTCAGCATGGTACAATGCCATAGAGTCCCTCCTGCGAAGCAGCCATTTTCTCCAGGGGAGCTGATCTCTGTCAGCTGGAGATCGGTTGTAAAAGCAGGAGATCCCCAGGCCCCACCTGGAGGCTGGCAACCCTAATTGTGGAGCTTGAGCATGGCTGAGCCACTACAGTGCAAATGCAGCTAAGAGCTTGGACTCTGATCTGTGAGTACTGGGTTTGATTCCCTACTCCATGTGCAGCTGCTGGTGTGACCTTGGGTCAGTCACAAGTTCTCTCAGCTGTTCTCACAGGAGCAGTTCTCTCGGAGCTCTCTCAGCCCCACCTACCTCTCGCAGGGTGTCTGTTGCGGGGAGGGGAAGGGATTGTAAACTGCTCTGAGATTCCTTTGGGTAGTGAAGGGTGGAGTATAAATCCAATCCCTTCTTACATCCTGCACCTTTTCCTCAGTGGAAATCAAAAGCAACTTGCATCCTTTCCCTCATCTCTATTTTATCCTCACCACAACCCTGTGAGGTAGGTTAAGCTAAGTGTGACAGGCCCAAGGTCACCCAGTGTGCTTCCATGGTGGGGAGGGGGATTTGGACCTGGGACTCCCAGATCCTAGTTTGGCACCCTATCCACTGCACCACACTGGTTCTAACTTCCGGACTGCCCCTGGAAGAGCCCTGAGCTCAGGAGACAAGGACTTCCTGGTGGTCCCCAGCTTAAGAGAAATCCGGCTCCCCTGGTGGAACTCTGCCGGAAGACATCCTTGCCCTGTGGGAGTTACTACCTTTCCGCAGGGCATGTAAGACAGAGGTGTTCCGCCAGGCATTTGGCAATGGGGGAGGACATCGCACTCTCATATTTTCCCCCATCCCTCACAACCCCTCCCCCCTGGGTGGCTAGGGGACCCGGTTTTCCATCGTTTGGTTTCTATTTATTGATGTTTTAATGTCTAGTTATTCTCCCCATCATGGATCGCTGCCTTGTCGTGGCGGGGGGCTTGCGTGGTTCGATGAGGCTGTGGGCTATGCCGTGGAGGGCCACCCAAGACGGACAGGCCACAGCAGAGAACTCAGACCAAGCGTGATCCCCTGGAGAAGGAAATGGCAACCCACTCCAGTATTTTTGCCAAGAAAACCCCATGGACAGTATCAAAAGGCTAAAAGATATGACGCCGGAAGATGAGCCCCTCAGGTCGGAAGGTGTCCAAGATGCTATCGGGGAAGAGCAGAGGGCAAGTACAAGTAACCCCAGAAAGAATGAAGCGGCTGGGCCAAAGCCGAAAGGACGCTTAGTTGTGGATGTGTCTGATGGTGAAAGGAAAGTCCGATGCTGCAAAGAACAATACTGCATGGGAACCTGGAATGTACAGTGTCATAGATGCAATGAACATTAAATTGAGCAAACTTCAGAGGACGGCGGAAAACAGGAGGGCCTGGCGAGATCTTGTCCATGGGGTCGTGAAGAGTCTGACTCGACTGTGCGACTCAACAAAAAATTATTCTCATTTTGTTGTAAACTGCCCTAAGCCCTACTTATAGGGGAGGGCAGCCTAGCAAGTCTATTTTAATAAGGGAGAGAGATCCTGTTAGCAGCCCTTCACTGGGTTCTTCCCCGGCCTCAATATTTGCAAGCTTTTTCTGTGCCTACTAGGAGCCTTTCTCTTTAAAAATAAATAAATAAAAAAAAATGAAAAGCTGAAATGGGATCCTGCTTACCTTCAGCATCCGTGTAGTGAATCTGCAGCTATAAAGTGGTCTCGCAAAGCCCAGTAAATCATGATACATATAGAGTTTCTCTTGTGTGTATAAACTCAGATTTTTATGGCGCATCTCTGCAGCAGCCTCCCCAGCTAAGCCCCCCCCCCCCCCCCCCCCAATCCTTGCTCGGCGTGGGAGGGCCAAGCATCTTTCTAAAAAACATTACGGGGTGGAGGTGCAAACCAAAGTTCTTGAGAAGATTTCCTTTTAATCTGTATTTAGGTTGTAACAGTCTGTAGTACATTTCCCTTTAAAGTCAAAAGCAGTCAAAAGTCTAGATTTTTTTTTGTGTGTGGGGGGGTTGCATTTCGAAGTCTCTTGGGGTGCAGAGGAGTCCTTTGACACATTCCTGTTCCTCATGGGGGGCAGGGAAGCCTTCTCCATTTGGTGACGTAAAAGGTGCAGAAGTTCCCGATGAGGTTGGAGAGGAATGTTTTAACCAGGTGGGACTGGCCTGTGACCATGCCACCAGGGTGTTTTCTTAGGCTACCACCTATGTGTGGCATAACACTTAACATGCTGGTAATACTGGATGCCTGTTAAAATGTGTGGGAGCTCCCTTGGTCCTTTAATTGCATGAAGGCAGAAATTCAACAGGAATACCTTTTCTGGGGCTGAGAAAATACATACCTGCAATAACTTCTGCCTGCTGATCGGCTGAAAAAAGTTGGCTGATTTTGTCTAGTGGCTGGGTGGAACAACAGGGAACTATGGGATTGAAGTCAAAGGTCTGGGGGTGTGTGTGTGTCACGTAGCTAACAAATAGATACAACTTTTCTGTGGATTACAGAGAAAAGGTTTGGAGATGAAAGCACTTTGAGGCAGCCTAGAGTCATCTAGTCCAGTTCAGAAATCCTTTGTCTCAAGAGACCCTCTATGGAGTGAGCACAAAGATGCGGAAAGCCCTTGGCACGCTGAGAAAATTGCTATAAAAGAGACCCTTAGTAAATGGAACGCGGTGCATAGGTTGATAGCTTGACCCTGGGTTGAACAGAAAACCACCTCTCTCAGCCTCAGTTTCCTGCTCTGTAAAATGGGAACAGACGCAACTTGGTTCAACTTAACGGTTATCCCCCCTCAGGTTCAGATTTTAGGATATCTCTAAGAAAGTTACATGTCTACTAGGAGAACACGCTAAGCTTGTTAAGTGGGGGCTCATAGTCAAGCATCCTTAGAAAAATTAAAGGGTGGCTGATGACTCCAGCAAGGGCACCAACGTATTTCCCCCCCACCCCCTGTTGCGTGCCTGTGTCTTTCAGTTCTTAAAAAGGCAGAGAGTGAAGGAAGGCCTCAATTTCTGCCTCTCCAAGAGCTTTTAAAATGGAAAGCCAGCTATGAGGAACTAGGAGAACAAATCCTGGTTATGTGAGGGACTAGGAGAAAAGATCTTGGTCGTGGCACAAGAAAACACCACACAGAAAAGGGGGCCGGGGGGGGGGGAAGTCATCTTCCTGTCCTCCACCCCAAACCCACGAGCCAGAACTGTACTGTAGGTTCAGGCCTAACCTTCTGCGGCAAATGTAAAGGGTGTGCAGTTAAAGCTCTGGCACCAGAACTGAGTGTGGCAGGAAAAGCCCCCTTCATACATTTACATACGAAATCCAAGGCCTGTCTTCTTTTTTCTGTGTCTGGTGGGATGTGAAAATGGCTTATGCAAGTGGGAAGTCTCCCCCAAGGAAGAGAGGGAGGTGCGCATTCCTTGCGTAACACCAGAAACAGAAAAAGGAAGCGGGGCTCACTCAAGCTGCCCTTTCTGGGTGGGGTGAGGCCTCTCGCACTAGGCCAGAAGCCTGGGTTGGGATGGGCCAGTTGAAGTCCGTCCTGGCAGGTGGAAGGCATGGTGGGTGCATCAACTGGCAGGGTTTGGCGTCGAGAGCAGCGGCACGTCGTCACGGCGAGTCGCCTCCTCAGCCCCCCGGCTTTCGCCTCCCCCGGCCCGACGGAGCAGCGAGGGTCTCCGGTAAAGTTCTCCATCCCGTAAGCTTTCGGGCAAGGCCTTGCGCTTGCTCTCGGGTAGCAGCATCAGACAAAGGAGGGCCAAGATGTTCAAGGACGCCAACACGATGTGCTGGAGGAAGGAGCCGTGCTTTTCTCGCAACCACAGCAAAGGGGCGCTTAGGCCGCCCAGGGACGCCAACGAGAGGATTACACCGAGCCCCTTCCCTCTGCAGAGGAAGAACAGTATTTGTCACACAATCCAGAATGAGGTGGTGTTTGCTTTTTTTTTTTAAAGGCACACCAAAATTCTCATGACACTGAGTTCTGTTCCCAACCCCAGCATGGAATGCCAGAAAAAAAATTACAGCGGTGGTCTTGAGGAGAAAGCTGGAGTGAGGAAGTGTGAGAAAAGGCCAGAATGTGTGAGAATTCTCCCGCACAAGTGGGAGAAATAAGGCAACGGGGGGAGTCCATAGCCAAGGACTTTGTGGCCAACGGGGAAATTTATTTATGTAATTCATTTGTACCACACTCTTCTCCCCAACCGGGACCAAAAGGAGCTTACATCGTCCTCCTCCATTTTATCCTCACAACAGGTAGGTGAGGCTGAGAGAGTGTGACTGGCTCACGGTCACCCAGCGAGGTTCCATGGCACGAGTGCGGATTTGAACCCGAGTCTCCCAGATCCTAGTCTTACCCTCTTAACCACTACAACGCACTGGAAATGACGATACAAGCACTAAAGGGAAGTGAAATTTTTGCAACATGAGGGCTAGAACCTTGAAAACAAAATGGAAGGCACTACCTGCAGATGAGCTTCTGCCGGATGCTACAAAAGGGGCTGAATGGGAAGGTGAGGGAGAACAAAGGCCAGAGAATTTTATGAAGATTGGTCTGTTACTCATGCCTTCACCTTTTAGCCAAGGTGTGGGGGAGCAGGTAACGCCCCCGTTTCCCCATCTTACCTGATAACGGTGGGGATGACTTCAGAGGCAAAGAAGATGCTGAGGGAACCCGCCGCATGTGAGGAGAACAGGCCGAGGATGGAGAACGTTACCACGGCGGCGTGGTTGAGATCTGAAACGCAGAGGAAGAAAGGGAATTCAGGGAAACGTGCCGAAGGGCTTCATGTGCGAGAGAGCTAGGCCCTCAGGCCTGGCCTAAAACATTTGACAGCTTGAAGCGGAAAATGTGTATTTATTTATAAAATGTACACTTCCCCACTGAATAATGTGATGCCCCTGCAATAAAGGAACGCACAGACGTAAAACCAAATGAGAAATCACTGCTCCTTCAGAACGACTCCTCTCTTACCTGAGGTGACCACTTTACCTCATGGGAGGCCCAGCCCTAGAACCTGAAATCTTTGGTTAACCCTTTTATTTATTTTTAATTTAAGCATTTATTTGTTTATTTATATCCCACTCTTCTCCCCAAGGGGAACTCAAAGCAGCTTTTAGAACATAATTCTCCCCTCATAAGAGAAGCCAATGTTGGATCAGGCCAACGGCCCATCCACTCCAACACTCTGTCACACATTGGCCAAAAATACCAGGTGCCATCAGGAGGTCCACCAGTGGGTCCTCCTCTGTTCTCTCACAACACTACCCTGTGAGGTAGGCCGGGCTGAAGAAGTGCGACAGGCCTAGGGTTACCCAGTGATCCTCCATGGTAGAACAGGGAATTCCAACTCCCTGAACGCCAAGGGTTCTAATTCCGCCACTCTATCCACTCCACCAACCTGCTTGCTGGTCACTGTGTTTGATAAGCCCTTGGACAGCTCAAAATGACCCTCAAAATGAGCCCTTGTGTGTGTCTGCGAGTGACCCTCAGAAGACATGTCCTTAGCAGCACTGAGGGTTATACTACTGAGTCATCCATGTTGTTTTGAGGTGTTCCACAAAGTCCTTATCATACCTGGTCCACGTGGGACATATTCCTGTTAGTAGGATGTCCCTGCAGGGTTCTCAAGACTATTTTTGAAATTTCATTGGCGAGGTTCCTTATATATACCTTTCTGGGCAAAGCAGTGCTGTGAGCGTGTTTGGGCTGCCTATGTTAGCGCACCCCAGGAACGCGCAACAGACCAGAACCTGCTGATTATATCAGGGAAAGATCAATGAGCTGAATATCTAGATAGATCACTGAATGCATTCATACGGTACCACCGTCGTTAAGTAATTGTACTCGGGGGTCATTTCGTAGAAAAAGAGGTGCGGGAGCTCATTAGCATAACTTATTTGCATATGCCACACCCCCTGACATCACCGGAAGCGTGTCAGAAGGCAACACCCACCGCTCAGGCTCTACTGGACTGTTTTGGATTGCTAGCTATTGGGGGGGTATGGACGCGCAGATCTGCCTTCACAGAGGAGGGAGAGCTTGTACCTGAAAG